GGGGTGCAAAATGGAAAATTAGGAAATCACTATACTGATGTTTTTAACAAAAGGTATCTTGGAGGGAGGAGAAAAGCTGAAGATATTGTTTTTTGTTTTGAGGGTCAGTTGATTAGCAGAAAAATTGAGTTTTTTAGGAAGGAGTCTAGATTGTCTCAAGTCCACTGCCTCAAGTTGTTTTGCCCTTAAGGGATCTCCAGGTTCTATAACCTTGTCATTCCTTCACTCAGAGCAAGATAAAGAATGGGGTGGGAAAGGCGGGGGATGATAGCAGCTACCAGTTCTTCTCAGTCCTAACATTATGTGGTAAGGGACAGATATTTCAATGTCTCAAGCAAGACCTAGAAACTTAAAAATCCCTTTCCCAAAGGGGTGATGGTCAGGACCAGGGATAAGGAGAATCAGCCATCTAGTCTCAGGCTCCAGAAACCTCATGTCAGGGCTTACTCTCCAGGCCTGGAAAAATGACACGATCTACTTGAACTCTAGCTAGCAGGAAAGAGTAAAGGTGTGACCTCTTCACTGCCACCCCCTAAATAGTATTTTAACTCTTGAGAAATTTTGGTATGCTTTAAGGAAAAATACATACACCACCTACTCCTAGAGTGAAAACAGAACAGATTAATTGTAGTCCTCCCTTGTTTGCTCTTCCTGAGAGCCTAGAACTGGTCTCCTGCCTGTCACCATCCCTGTAGCCTTCAGACCTCACCTGAGGCCCGCTCCACCACTGGAGCAAGGCAACAATACCCACAGGGTGTGACTGTATTCTTTGAAAAATAGTTAAGATTTTCTTTTCAAAAAACATGCCAAGTTCATCTTATGCACTCCTGAAGTCATATTCACTCATTCAAAATTTATTGAGCATTTACTACATGGTAAGTGCTGTTCTGAGCTCTGGGGGATACAGCAAAACAGGCCAACTCTCCTTGAGTAGGAAAATCACTAGGATCAAGGGTATATATGGGCCAGGGAGAGAGTAGGACAAATGACTCCTAACATGCCAGCCAATGCATAGGGTATTTTCAAAAATCCATATCCAATCCTTTCCCAAAGACTACCAAAGTTAAACACCACAAAGTAAAATTGAATCCCCAGTGTCTCTGCAATCTGACACATTGCTCCTCATTCTTATAGTAGGCATTTTCACCTCCATTTCCTTATTAATGTTTGCTCTCCAACCTACCCTGCACTTGGGGGTGATGGGGCGGCAGTTAAGGAGGAATAGAAAATGATGAACTTGGAGTCAGTAGACTCCAGATCCAAGCAAGCTACTTAACTTCTCTGACCTTTTCTTGTCTATGAGATGGGCTTCTGACCACTGTAGTTCCTCCCTGTGATATATTATTTCTGCAAAGACTTTCCCAGGGATCAATGGCTTAACCTCGCTACATGTTCTTACGGCCCAAACTACCTTTTTGAAGACTAGTTGGGATGCTGTTGCCATAGCTCAAGGGAGTCGTATTGAGGACTTGAGTTAGGAATGTAGAAAGGGAGTGATGGATTCAAGAGACAGCACAGAAGTAGAAGCAACAGGTCAGTAACTGATTGGATGCCGGCTTCAAGGGGAGTAGAAGGATTCCAAGATATCTCTGCAGGAGCCTGGGTGACTGAGAGAATGTGGAGGCACTTGTCCCATGCCCCTCATTAACTTTTTGAGGTATGAGCTATGTTCCAAACAGAAAAAACAACTTGGCCTATATTCATTTTTAAATAGCAATGACTGTTCAGGGAATTGCAAACTCACTGTCTAACCTGATGTTTTTTTATCACACAGCATTCCAGTGTCTTTCCATCCTCCCCTCCCTCTGGACTTTCTGACGAGCCTCAGTCTGCCTCTCCCTCACCCAGCTACATGTGGTCCTCGAGTGCACCGCCCCGTTACTCTCCACCTTACTATCCACCTTTTGAAAAGCCACCACCTTACAGTCCCTAAAGAGGAATGCCTGCTGGCTATTGAGATTACCATGGCTTTTGTATTTCTGCTTTAGTGGAAGTGTGTAGGGTACAAAATTTAAAGTGTGACTCTTACGCATCGAGTTTTACAATGGCCTGCCAGGTTGGGGAAAGATAGGGATGAAGCCTATTCGTTACCAGTGCAGAGCAGGGGTGTCTAGCCGGAACCTAGCACTCTCGAGAAGGCCAGCTCACACTCTCTAAGCAAGGCTGGGTGGGAGCCAGCCCAGCAAGCAGCTTGTGGTGTTTGGACTTGCATTAGCCTATGTTCCACCTCTGTATTCAGCAGAAGCGTGATTGCCATCTGTTTCACTTTATGTAAAGGAGTGTTGTCCTCAAACCCTTGGCAGATTGCCATTCTTGCACCTCAGTTGCAGCACCTGGCTTATAGGCCCTATCTTTCCCTACCACTAAAGTCAGTCCCTAAGGAAAACTTCCCAGCTGATGGGGCTACATAGTAGTTCCAATTCAGAGTTCTGGCTAAGATTTTGATTGTGTCTGGATGTTGAAAAAAGCTGCCCATATCTTTTACTCCTTTCTTCTCCGTATTGTAAAAATGGCTGTTGTGATCATTCAGCTCAGCTTTTGTTACTGGTACCTCCTAAAGGGAAAAGTGCAATATCCCCACATCTTGAGTGGTGGGGAACAGGATTGATTATTCTGGAAACACTGAAGTACACAGCAACATGTGGGATGTCCTAAGTACATCTCAGTAGTACAGCTGATAACTTAGGAGACAGTGGTTCTACTACATGTTGCATTAATTACAAAATACATTTGCTATATGAGATAAAAATCTTACGGTTGAAATTCAGAGTTTAAAGTTAGATTAGGTTCTTGGGTTGTGATATGAATTGTTACTAATCTTTGTGACTATTTAATCTTCAAATATTGTGCTTCAACCCCAGCAAACCGCACGTATCCTGCACCCCGCCCCAGATGAATCGTCTGTATTTTAATGCCACTGCTCTTACTGGTCCCTTTTTCTGTTGAGACCAATCATGACAGCATTCAAGATTATGAGTGTTACAATGCCGCTTCAAGTCTGCAACACCCCAAATGCAGCCAACTTGACAAATACTTAAGTGTTATGGTACATTTTCAATCCATCTGACAAACTGTAGTAGGTATTTGTACAGTTCTTTTAATTATACATCGCTTTAAACCAACAACCTGATGAATTTAAAACACTTTTGCACCCACGCCTTCACCTTAGAATAAACACTTTCATTGTGATCTTATGAGAATTGATTGATTCAAAGGAAGATTGATAATCCCACACTTATATAACTTAAAAATAAAGGGGCTACAGGAGGGTACCTAATTAGACAGTTCTGCAAACACAGAACAAATACTGGAAACTTTTCCAGCCAATTTTGCTACCTCCCAACTTGATGGATTTAGAGGTAGCAGACAAACGCTGGTGCTCCCATCTACCTTGTAGACACCCAGCCATCAAGAATCACTAAGGCACAAGTGCACTCACCCTTTCCACAATAAATGTTTGCAAAATACCCCGTTTAACTTTCAGCATCATGAACATTGTTTTACCCAGATTTCCAGTTTGAAAAACTATAATCCTTTTGAGTTATACAAAATTACTATGATTTTTTTTACAGTTCTGAGCATATTACAATTCTATTGGATTTCAAAAAGGGACTAATAGCCGATTGACTTACTATACAAATATGAACTTGTAATACTCAATGAATTTTTTTGCCATTTACACTTGACTTTTTGCTTTAGTGAACATGCATATTTAATTTTTTAAAGGCACCATTACACAATATACCCTACATTTATCACATTTCTTAAAGTGTTAAGATTCTATGACTCATTTCTATGTATTTTTCTTACTTTACAAAATAACTTGAAACTATAGATTTTGTAACACTTAATTTTAGCAGCTTTTTTTATTACATTGAATTATAAAAAGTGCATGTTACCTTTAAAAATTAATACTTGCTGCTTTACTCTTTTTGCAAAACATTTGCTGTAATGAAGGAATTTGTATTTCCAATATGTATCTTGACTGCATTTTGTAATACTTACTGCTTTATTCCTAATTCTGCTTTCAGTATTGAACTGGGCATGAAGCATTAAAATATTAATCCAGAACATGTATAAACTGGATGTTGCTTAAATTCTGTATCACTGCCATGTTGGAAACCCAGACTGCTTTTGTGATGTTTCAAATTAATAAAACTATTCTCCTTATCTACTTACTTGTGTCTTCAAGGTAGCTATAAAAGTACAACAAATGCTCTAAAAGCAACTGACAACAGCTGATTCACTTGACTATTATGGTTCAAGATACAAGGAGATGTGATTAACCAACATATGAGGAGGAGCTCCCCCCCAAAAAACAATTATTTTTTGGAGGGTAAGCCCCTTGTAGTACAGTTTTCCCCCACTAGTTAAGTGTTCTAGGCACCCATTGGCTTCAGTATACCAGCTAGTGCTGTTGTGAGAGGCTGTTTGGCTTCAGTGAATTTTTGGGGGGCGATTTTTTCAACACATTTGCCCATTTCATGATGGATGATTTACAAGTGTATCTGTCCACACTGCACTGAGTGTACAGCAATTTTTGAACAAAAACGGTATGAACTCCCACACCCCCCTCCTTATTCACCCGATCTCACCCTGAGTCACTTTTCTTTGTTTCCCCAGATGAAAAAAGTTCTCAAAGGGAAACGTTTTGCCAGTGTGGAAGAGGTGAAACAAAAAACAGCAGCAGCACTAAAAGGCATCAAAATTGACAAGTTCCAAAACTGTTTTGAGCAGCGGGAAAAGCATCTCAATAGGTGTATTGCATCAAACAGAGAGTACTTTGAAGGAAAATGAAGCTTAGATATGTAAGAATGAATATACAATTTTTAAAAAATAAATTGTTTTGGGGGGGTCCTCCCTCACATAAAACCTAATGGGGAATTTTGCCATGCTGTCATCAGAAATACAGCTCCAGGCTCCTGCAAAATGGAAAAACAATAGATTATAAAAGCCTATTAATTTCTGAAAGATAATCTTGCAAAAGATACACTCAAAAATCAGAATTAAAACATTTTATTTTTGCCGAAAGAAGCTCTAGGAACTAGTATCAGGCAATGGTTAATGAAAAGTAGAACTTAAAGTCATGACAGGGAAGATTGTACAAGTATGAACATTACAGTATTGGGGGAAATAAACAAGGTTTCATATGACTGACAGAGGCCAGGAAGCCAGTGCTGTTGAGTTAGCATTTAATTATTTAGAATATGCATGCCTTGACAATACAAAATACCTAGAGGTCAATGTTTACCATTTGTTTTAACGCTTTGGTACAATGGGAAAAAATGTGGCATTTCTTCATAGTGGTTGTATGTGGGGGATTGTTATCATCAAAATGATAATCATCTAAAATATATATTTAAATCAGTCTTGCAAGATTGCTATGACTTTTAAAAATCTTTGCTTAGTATGAGCATTTTCATTTTGTCATTTCTTTTAACAAATTACTATTTCAAATAGATCCTATCCAGAATATTTACAAGTAATTTACCATAGGAGCAAATTTGAAGTCAATTTCAAAGAAAAAAAAGAATTTCAACAGCCAGAAAACTAAGTATAAGATAGAAAAGCATCGTGGTAAATTCTCAGCAGCATCTGGCTACAGATTTCCAATCCAATAAGTAACAGGAGTGAAGGGTTTTCGACCCAAAGGAGTATTTAACATGAACTCTGAACTTTGGATATGGAAACTTCTAGAAAAACTGAAGACCCTGAGACACATGCAAGTAAGAGTCTTCTGGCAAAAATACAAATTAATTTTCCAGTTCTCCTCCTCTCAAAAAACTCCAGAAGATACCTTTAGTAGGCACAGAATTTAAATTTTATATTCAGAATTTACAGAGCACAGCAGCAGCAGCAAACAATTATATCCATATTACTCAGAATGGATAGTTTTCCATTATAGAATTAATGCCTGGTTTGTCATAATTAGCTTGTAGAAACTACCCAAGTTTTATTATGACAAACTAATGCATCTAGCTGTTGAGTCTGAAAGGTCTGAAAGCTCTGCTGGCATTGGTATCACTCACATTGGTAGAAGTAATTACATCTAACTGGTGAAATAGCATTAATGAAATGCAAACAAATTTCCACTGAGAACATTTTAGAGTGCACCCCACAGTCAAAGAGTAATGTTACTAATATCCACACAGAAAGGAAACAGATATGGTGATTCCAGAGATAACAGAGCCTTAAGTTATAAGGTCATTTTAAATTTCCCAAGGGTTAGTTTACAAAATGGTTTGAAGGTATAGACTTACAGAGCAGAAAACAGATAAATGCACATCACTCTACCCCCTTGGTAAGCAAAGGATTGTATTTTCTTTTTTCTTGTATTATTGCATATACGGATGCCTGATACACTCAGCTACCAATTTAAGAAACACTGAAATCATTATCTAGCTTACCATCAGGAGAATGATGTATACATAAGAAATTATGATTAAAGCTTTAAGTTCAAAGTCAAGAAATAGACTATTTTCCAAAATACATGGTAAGGAGAAAGAATATATCTATTTTGAACTAAGAAATACTTAAGCAAGGTTACAAATGACTAATAACTATGCACAACAATCTTTTCCAATATCTATTAATTTTTTTCCTTTGCAAAAACGTCATTTACAAAAGTCCAACAAGTTAATTGTTATAAATGCTAGGCTATATATTTGTTCCAATCTGCTTCCTTTTAACACTAGCGCTTTAATAAGTTTTGACTTTATTTTCTAAGTGTTTAAGCATGTGTCATTTTAAAAGGAAGAAAGGTGGTATTTATTGTTGTCAGGATAAACAGGAATTGACAAGCCTATAAAACATTCCATGTGTAGTTTCTGATTGTTATAATATTGCAGCAATTTGCAGATGGAATAAAATTTATTTTAGAAGGGGTAAACACCTAAAAGGAACCTGAAGGAAAATACTAGCACACTGATTCAACTATTTCAAATAAAAATTTCATATTGGAGACTCTAAGTAATATGAACATTTAAAAATATATGCCAGTAGCCTCCCGCCCAAAATATGTAAAAGTCTCACCTATGGAATCTATCATTTACAAAGATTTATACATAATTAAAGATTCATTTGGTGGCTTTCAGATTTGAAATTCGAAAACTCTTCATCAGAATATTTTTAACCATAACAAGCAAAAAGGACATCTCCATTCAATTCCATTCTCTACCATGTAAGAGCACAGAATTAAAATTAAGTGTGACAGAACTTTTCATCTCCTTCTGTCTGCATTACAGAGATTTGCTTTTCCATTAGTTTTCTGCCCACAGAGACCACATTGCAAAAGTATACAGTGGTCTAGCCACCAAAGTCTTTTGCAGGCTATGGCAGTAAAAGCAAGGATTCTAATTAGCTAAATCTAATTCGTTCTTTAGATGAGAGATTTGTCTGCATGGATATTTTCATGGAGGGAGGACTGCAGGAGGTTGCCATCCTCTGGGACTAGTAGAATACACAACCAAGTGGAGATTATTCTAATACTTTCCAGAGCAATTTAAAAAATTCTTGTTTACTTTTTATGCCATATACAAGACACAACACACATTTATAGCCTCAATGTTAAGAAAATTGGGAATTCAGCAGTAAAGTGCTAACATGGAAAGTTTTAAGATGTACTAAGGTATGCTAATAACTCCAGTTATTTTTCAAAGAACATTCAGACTGCTTCAAATTCTATTCAGAAAACTCTCTCTCCAAGTTTTTTTATTTTTGCCTCCTTTAAATGAGTCAAAAACTAACTATATAAACAGATTCTCAGGAGGGATAACTTCTCAATCTCTACTCAAACTTTCAGAAAAATTTGCTTCTAAAAATTAGTAACAAATAATTCCACTAGACTACCTTCAGATGATGTGGCAGATCAAAATAACTTGTTTGCACCTTAATTTGTTTTACAGGTCTTCTGAAATCCCTGCCCCTTAATCCAAACCAAAACTTTCTGGTATTTCAAAGGAGTTTAGTAAGATTCTGGTATTATAAATTCAAACTCAGTACTGCCATCTGTTACATTCTGTTTAAAAATTGAATCGTTTTCCTGCTGAATAAAAATATCTTCCCAGGTCATTGGCTTGTTTTGAGGAGTAGATGTGGTGGTCCCTACTGGAGGTTCTTTTCCAGCATCAACCTTATACCCAACACCATCATCCTTCATTGCAGGCATACTGCTTGACTTATCAGAAAGATATGCATATTGTCTGATCTGTAAAGACCTACATGGATGTAAACGATAAAGCTTCGAGTCCCCAGAAGGATCTTGACTGTGAACTGACTTTATATGTGAAGACATAAACTGATAGTTGATGAAAGATTTCCCACAGGCCAGACATTGATACCTTCGCTCCCCTGTGTGATGAATTTCATGCTTTGTGCGATACTCTGCAAGAGGAAACACCTTCTCACAGTAACGGCAAGGATACTTCTTCTCCCAAGAATGAATATTAAAATGTCTCCGCAAGCTTGTCAGACAGACATATGACCTTTTGCATACAATACAGATATAATAGACCCTTCCATCTACTATTAACTCATAGTGATCATCATGTTTTACTTTCATACGTTTGTTTGCTGTCTCACCACCAGACGTTTTTGGTATCTCATTCTCAAGTCTGGCTTCCCCTTCGTCAGGGTCATCTTTGACAGGGATCACAATGTCATACGTATCTTCACCGATATTTGCATAAACCTTGCAACCAGTTGATAAGCCTTCTATTTCAGTAGCTGTATCTAGAGTGATAATCTTCTGACCCTCCATTAGATGTTTTGATTCTAAGCCTGGATCATTAGTGTTTCTAGTAATTATATCTGAAATTTTTAAAGAATTGGAAAGTGGCTCTTGCAGAAGTGTAGGAATCTGCATCTTCTGTATTAATGATCCATCAAAAGTGGTATTTTGGTAGGTATCAGCCTGTGGGACCAAAGATGTATTACTGACAGCTGAGTCTGGACTGGAGCTAATAGTGTCATCATCATCATCGATAATTTCCTCCTCCTCCTCTTCGTTGGTCTTGTTTCCTGTTAAAATAGCACTGTTTGGTGTTTGCTGATTCTGCACAAGCAAATTGATTGAAGAGGACATATGATTTGGAGGTGAAGAAGTGATATTTGGTGGTGTAGTAAGCGGTGTCTGATTTAACAAAATAATGTTGGGAGTTAGATGTGTTGGAGCCGAAGATACCAGCAATGTTTCACTTCCTTGTGTTTGGCTCAGAGTTGCCTGATTCACAGGAGTAGGAAGTTTCTGAGTAGGTGTGATATTTGTTAACGAGGGAGAGTCATTACTAGCACAAGGTGCAACATCTGAAATAGCAACAGGGCCTGGATTAGACTGTACCTGTGCTACTGCATTATTACTTGGCAAAGTGTCCTTTGCAGGTAGAATCTCAGAACAGAAAATGACATCATCATCATCATCATCATCAGAATCAGAATCAGTAACAATGATTTTTTTCATTTCATAATCTTCGGCAGATAATGAAAAAGACTCTGTTATAATAGGCATTATAGTAACCCCATTATCTTGGGCTTCATCTTTTGATTTTTGTATTTCAAGGTTCTTGTCACTAGAACCAGGAGGTAAGGCTTCAGCATTACCATCCTGAGCTGTACCTGAGATGCTTTTAACCTGTGACAATGGGACACCAAGCTCTGCTATAAATTTCACTCCTAATAACTGCCCTGATTTAATTAACTCATCAAGCAAATCTGATCTAACACGAACAATTTTAGAACTATAGATATAATTGAGAATTTCTGCAAAGATCTCTGCTCTTATAAAGCTCAGTTCAACGACTTGCCCGGCAACGGAGAAGAGCTGATGGAAGTAAGTACTAGAAGCTGAAAGAATATTCTTGTGGGCCCGGAATTTTCGGTCTTCCACAATAACGGTAACATCACAGAAGAGTCCATGGCCACGTTGTTCATTCAAGGAGTTCAGCAGACTGCCAGAGTATTGGATGTCTGTAGCAGAAATCAGTTTTCTACTCTCCATGCCTGTAAGAGAAAAGGAGAACAGGATGGGAGGGGGTTACAAGAGAGGAAAAACAAAAGTACTTTATCATTCAAAATTTAAGCCACAGTATCAAAAATTGTTTATACAAGCTTCAACCCAAGTTTGGTATAACTTTTTGGCTGTTATAGAAACTGTTCATACAGACTGGCTTTTGGACCATGTGTCAAATCTCATGATGACTTCTTCAGAAGAATGGAGCAAGTATTAAGCTGTTAGATCTGAACAGTAATCTCCACAATCACATTCCTTTACATTGCATCTCCACTAAGCAATTTTTAAAGATAAAAATTAATTTTAGTCCCAATTTTGAGTTTTCTCCTTAAGCGGTAAGAGCTAATTTTTAACTGTCTTAAAATTGTTTTAAGGAAAATCTTCATCATGAACACATCGAAGTTATTTCATCTGTAAAAGAATAACTTAAGCCGGGTTCGGTGGCTCAGCCTGTAATCCCACGCCTTTGGGAGGCTGAGGTGAGTGGATTGCCTGAGCCCGCGGGTTCGAGACCCGCCTGGGCAGCGAGACCTCATCTCTACAATAAATCAAAAAATCAGCCGGGCGTGGTAGCACATGCCTGTAATTCCGGCTACTGGGAAGGCTGAGGCGGAAGGATCGCTGGAGCCCAGGAGGCGAGGCTGCGGTGGCCGGAAGCAGCCACTGCACTCCAGTCTGGGTGACAGAGTGAGACTCCAACTCAAAAAAAAAAAAAAAAAAAAAAAAAAGAATAACTTAAATGTCAGAGAAGCCTGATGTGTGAAAATACTGAATCTATATATATACTGACTAAATTTTAACTAATATTTAATATATTCAAAATCTACTCCCCAAAACCAACGATAATACCTCTCATCATCCCATTATTTTTCCGTTCTTATTTAAATTGGGGGGGGGCCTCATCATGATAAACTATTAAACATCTTTCTTACCCTTTTCTCTCATCCTCTTGTCCCTTCCCCACACCTCTCTATCTTTACAATCTCCAGCGGTGAAATGTGAGAATGCCAAGTGAAGTCAACACATGCTATCATGAAAAAATAAGATAAAGTAAAAGGCAAGTTTACTATTTCTTAATGCTTATTTGTTGGTAAATAATTGTGTGCATTGGCATGGGAACTTTATTCACACCGAATGAGTTAGTGAAAATGAAAATATTAACTTACTGGAATAGAGCAGACATTACTCTAGAAAGGGGGAATGTCAGGAAATTGCATTGCTGTGTAGCACCCCCAAGACACCTTTTTTTTTTTTTTTTTTTTTTTGCGGAAGCTATTCTCAGTAACAGTGATACCAGAGTTGGGAAAAAACCATATATATTTAACAATATATAATATCCATATACGTAGATATATATTAACAATTAGCTGATAAGTACCTTTAATAAGGGGATATTTTTATTGTTAATATCTCTCCCTTTAAAGTTACCAAAGAGTATTACTGTCACAGTACTTGTTATATATACATGGAAGGCAAAACGTCTCAAATACCTTTAAATTTTTTCAAAATTAAAGCTTAAGAACAAAATAGGCAAAAAGTCTAAAAATTAAGGATTTAAAACATTATCTGCTAAACGTTTCATGTTAACAGTACCAAGGAATTCCAGGTTACCATAAAGGCATTCATCAAAAAGGGTGACCTATGGACAGCATGCCAAAAACCAGGGCTTCTGAAATATGGGTATTTCAATAGAAGTCACTTTTAAGTGGAGAGACAGGTCCTCTGAACACGGTACCACAGTTTTTGCCATTTGCACGTGGGTTTTTCCAATGTGGGAATGCGTCAAACGTACGTGTCCAGGTGACAGTGGAATTTGGTTTCGTTTTACTAAGGTGCACCCCTCCTCCCCGTCAGGGTGGGCCCAGGGACAGCACGAGTTGGTCTGAACCCACTCCCAAGATTTGTTATTTGACTGTGGAAAAACCATTCCATATCATTGTGCGACAAATGCTTGACCGAGGGCAGGTGTGGAGGGGCTGGTGAAGGTGGAAAAGAGAGACAAGCCATCCGCCAGGGAGTGAAACAAACCAACACGCGGTTCCCTGCGGCAGCTGAACCTCATCTCCCTTCCTCCACCCACTTCTTCCCCATTTGGACCCTGCCAGCTGCAACCCAGGTTTTTAACCCCAATTCACGTGAAAAAAAAAGCCAGCTTCTTGAAAATACAGATGGAGGTACAAACAGCAGAGTGAGGCGGGAGGAAGAAGGGGTACCGGGGAAAGTAGAAGGTGGCGAACAGCAGGGTGGGGTGTTGGGGGGAAATGAGGCGAAGCAGGCGGCATTGTTATGCCCCGGGGAGGGGACGGAAGGGGAGGATGGGCCGGGCAGAAAAGCTCTAAATCAAAGTGGGGGCTAGAAGGAGAAAAGGAGGCACGAAAAGGCAGGCGGATGAGGTGAGGGAAAAGCCAACTGGGTCTCTGTGGTGGGCTCCCCACGCCCCAGGGCCTACCCAGGGCACCGGCAGCCCCCTGGCACTGGACCGCGGAGGGAACCGCGCCGCGGCCCTCCGGGTACATCCCCTCCTTCACTCCCCGGCCCACACAAAGAAAGCGCCGGAGGAGCGGAGGCTCCGACTCCACCGCTTCCTGGTTCAAGTGAGGCGAACGCAAACGCAGGCGCGGCCCAGGGACGGAGGAGCCTGGCGCGCTCCTTCGCCCTCTCCTGGATCGGGGCCGGGTCCTCACCTGCTTCCCGGCGCCGCCGCTTCTCCTCCTCGGGCCGCGAGGAAGGGTGGGAGTCCCCCAACAACAGGAATCCGCACTCCCAGGCGATCCTGCCCCTTCTCTAAATGTCGCTCCAGTCTTGGTCGACGTCGACGCGGCTGCCGCCACCGCTGCTACAGCTGCCCCACGCCGCCGACAGAGGGCACAGCGCGGGGGCGAGCGCCGAAGTCAAAGGCGCCCTCCTCTTCCGAGCGCAGTCCGGATCTGTCCGGAAGGGCCCGAGCCCGCGGCGGCTCCGCTTCGGCGCAATACTCTAACTTCGGCTCTTTCCGCAAGGGGGCGGAGGAAGACTGGGAAGCTCTTGTGGGTTCGGCTCTTTCCGGAGGGCGAAAGGGTGGGAAAATGGAAAGGGATCGCGTAATGAAGTCACAAGCCATTGAAGTGCAAGGGAAGCGAAGAGTCTCTTGTATCTAAACTTACTGTGAGCTTCTAGGGTATACAGACTTTTAGAGACTATATGGGTTTCATTTCTTTTGCAAGTTTGAATCTGCTGTATAAGCCTGTTTGTTAAATAAAAGCCCAACTTGAAATATAGTCTGAATAAATATAATCATTAAAGTTTATCTACTTTTTCTGATAATTCAAGTTCTAAGATGACACGACAACAACTGCATGGTAACTTTTTTTTTGTTTTTTTTTGTTTTTTTTAGTTTCACTCTGTCGCCCAGGCCAGAGTGCAGTGGCACGCTCAGGTCACTGCAGCCTCCGTCTGCTGGACTAAGGTGATCCTTCCACCTCAGCCTTCCAAATAGCTGGAACCACAGGCATGTGCCACCACGCCCGGCTAATTTTTTTAATTTTTATTGTAGAGACGAGGTCTTACCAGGTTGCCCAGGTTGGTCTCGCCTCTGCCTCCCAAAGTGCTGGGATTACAGATGTGAGCCACCATGCCCAGTGACAGTAACTATTTTTAAGAAAAATCTAGGACCAGGCACGGTGGCTCATGCCTGTAACCCCAGCACTTTGGGAGGCCGATGTGGGAGGATTGCTTAAAACCAGGAGTTCGAGACCAGCACAGGCAATATAGTGAGAACTCATCTGTACAAAATATTTAAAAATTAGCTGGGTAGGAGTGGTGTGCACCTGTAGTCCCAGACGCTCAGAAGGCTGAGGTGGAAGTATCACCTGAACCCAGGAAGTCAAGGCTGTGGTGAGCTGTGATCAAGCTACTGCACTCTAGCCTGGGAGTGGGACCTTGACTCAAAAAAAAAGAAAAATCTAGTGTTTGAACAACTACCATCTGCTTAACTGAATACTAAATGGCTCGATACTAGGTTAATTCCCTCATTTCTCTACTGATCACTTGCTTGATCTGTAGCAAACACTGTTAGGTTCCATGGAATACAAAAATGAATAAGCCAGGGGTCTCTACCTTTTCAGAGAGCTCAGTAGATAGGTACACAAACATTGACAAAAGTATTTGTACAAGATGTAGAAGCACAGAGTAGGGAATAGCAAATTGTCATTTCAGCTGTATCTTCTTCGTGGTCCTTCTGCCTCAGCCTTCCAAGTAGCTGGAACCACAAGTGCATGCCAACATGCCCGGCTAATGCTTTGATTTACTGTAGAGACGCGGTCTTGCCATGTTGCTCAGGCTGGTTTCGAACCCCTGGGCTCAGGCAATTCTCTCACCTCCACCTCCCAAAGTGCTGGGATTACAGATGTGAGCCACCACGCCCAGCTTGAACTGTATCTTAAAAGATTAATATTAACACTTGCATTGTTTATTATTATTATTTTCATAGCATTTCATTCTCAGAGGGCTTTAGCATCTGACACATAGTCGATGTTCAGTAATTGTTTAATGACTGATAAATAAGTTGTGAGTTACATAATTTTAGATAATTCTCTGGTAATACCCTTCTAAACTGAGTACGATGATGAATGAAGTAACAGATGGGTGTGTGGAAAGCAAAATATTTCCCTTTAGGCTGGTTTTGATCATATTCAACGAAATAACCAAATACTAACTTTTTTCTGCAACAATTAAGGCCATTCACTGCCTTCATTTTCTTACTTTAAAGATATGTGTAGGATAATATCCCATAAGTTTTCAAAAACTTGAATCTGCACCTATTTATCTTTCAGGTGGAATTCCTATGCCGCTGTCCCCCCCCCCCCTTCTTTCTTCTCCTTCTTCTCACTCTGTCACTGAAGCGCAGTGGCACAATCACGGCTCACTGTAGCCTTCACCTCGTGGAATCAGGTGATCCTTCTGCCTCAGCATCCAGAGTAGATGAGACTACAGGCACACGCCAGTAGCCTGGCTATATTTAAATTTTTTTTGTAGAGATGAGGTCCCACTATGTTGCCCAGACCGATCTCAAACTTCTGTGCTCAAGCAATTCTTCCTCCTCAGCCTCCCAAAGTGCTGGGATTATAGGCGTGAACCACCATACCTGGCCATCCTGTGCTTCTTAACTACAAAAATCTCACTGGAATGCCTGTTACGATATTAGAGTGAAAAAATATCTAGGTATATCTAATTCTCTTCAATAAGAAATCCGACATGGAAATCCTCTATTCTACACTCTCCTCAATAAAGTAATGCCGCACAGTAAAACATCAAAATGGTGTAATACACCTGTGTTTTCACACAGAAATATGAAATCCCTTAAGCTGTTCTCCAAGATTTTGTATTGTGGGAAAACGAACTATTTTGGGATTACTGCATTATTGATTTTTGATTAGGACTTAAAATTATGGAAGTTTCATTGTTTAATATAAATACATTTCATGGCAAATAGAAGTGTGCTATTGTAAAAGAAACTAAGTCAGATTAGTCTTTTCCTAACAACTGAGAACTTAAAGCTAGTTAGCAGATTAATGATCACTTTCTGAGTTATTCTTTCTGCAAATTCAGAAGCCAAGAAGAAGTAGTTAATAAGACAAAGTATATCTTGAATGTTTAGGATCTATCTTTCAGTAGCTTAGTTGACTTAATCTAAAATGAGACACATCTTGGAAATACAGATCACAGTGGCAGTAGATGTCACCCTTGACATCACGTTTGTTGGTCACCTTTCAATAAATTGGGTACAATAAAATTTCTTTTGCACCAGTATTAACATCACCAAAACTGCCATAGAATCGCCTTGCCTTTTGTCGTTTTCCCGAAAGGGCTTTAAAAGTATGGCGTCTCAACCAGTGAAACGTCTCAAATACTGAAAACCTCTCCATTCAAAGCACAGGAAATCTCTTCCCTTCTGTCCATGTCCCTCACCTTTCAACCAAGCAAAAACTAAAGTTAAAAAGTCACTTATAATGAAAGAAGAGCTAATGAGTAAGAAAGAAGTTTTACTTTAGGAAAGAAGAGCAGACCAAGAAATGTGAGTAGCCTCAATAATTGTCTTTGAGATTGGATCATTGGAAAGTTTTATTAATTATCTGTTTCTCATTGAGTTATTTCACCTTTTCCTTTCTTTTTATCTGAGAGCTTAACTTTATTTCAAACAATCCAGTAGATTATAAGGAGAAGAACTTAGAACAAATGAATTTGGAAGTATCAATTGTTCTACATTATAGGAACATTTTGATTTGTTGAAAATTGAATCAGTTAGGTTTTATAGCCACATTATCAGTGTTTTCCTGCCTTGTTTGAACATGGTTATGAATTTCATGAGGGCAGTAACTGTTCTCTCCTGTGTTAGATGCAAACAATCTAGGTGTAATCACTCCGTGATTCTCCCTATACACGTGTTAATAAAATTTATATGCCTTTTCTCCAAAAGAATGCAACAATCTTGAGGGTGCTTAATATTTATTAATTGATGACAATAAAAGGTTAAAAAGAGACATTAATTCAGTCCTATAGTCCTTCCTGTGAGTTATACTTAGGGTCACAGATTTGGTAAGGTCACAATACAAGATAAGAAGAAACCCCAGTAAGGTAGAGTGGAAAAAAAACAAAGCCTTGAGGAGATGTGAGTGGGTTGGAATTCTGACACTGTCACTTACTGGCTCTGTGATCTTGAACCTGATTCTTCACCTGTAAAATAGACATGATACTACCTTTCCACAGAGTCATTTTGAGGATTAAATCAATTAACTATATATAGTGTCAAACCGTTTACAGTTTCCAAAATATGTCATACTGTTTACTGTTTCCAAGTCTGTACCTGGAATCCTGAGAAGGAATAGTCATTCTCTTCATACTCACAACTCACCTAACCCATTGTCTGGCAAGTGTCTGGTCTTCTATAAAGACACGACTCAAACATTAACTTATTTGTGAAGTTGCCTTGGCCCAACAAATGATAGATACTTAATAGTTACTTAATGTTGAATGAATGAGTATATGGAACCAAATAACTCCTAAATATGTGTTTGCCTTCTCATCACTATCCCCTTTTCTGCTGAATCCCAACAAATCTCTCGTTAAGTAACCTGTTTAATAGTGCTGATTGAGACAAAATTATGAAGTGGTCTTGTTAAAACCTTTCAAAGTCAATTGGATAGGGATATGTATAACTCTCCTACTGGGAAAGGGGGGAGAAGATGATTGCTAACAATAAATACAATCCACCAAAAAAGCAACAGCTTATTCCAAACATGAAAAAAATAGAGGATATACTATCCATGAGTTGCTTGTGACAAACTAGTTGGCACTGTGAAGTCAAATCAAACAAGAAATGAGTCCAAATAAAGAACTAAGAATGGAAATTTTGGAGTGATCCAAACTATGTAAATGGAGGACTATGGAGGACTAAGACCAAACAACAAATTAATTATGACTGTGTGACAGAATGAAACTTATAAATCCTGACACGGTAAAACTCCATTCATTCATTTGTTCAACACATATTAAATACATATCATTTAGTACCTTATCCGTGCCAGGAAATATTTTAAGCACTGTGGATACAGTTCTTATCACGTTGAAGTTCTGGGCTTCACATAACTTACATTCTAATGGAAGAGACATACAATAAACATATGTATATAATACAATATTAAACAGTAGTAAGTGATGTGGAGAAAAATAGAATAAACAGATAGAGAATGATGGAGGTGCTATTATAGATAGTGTGGTCAGGAACACCTCTCTGAAAAGGTGATGTATAAGCAAAGAAGAAATTAATTAAGGGAAAGGGCCATGCAAATATCTGGAGAAGACTATTCTAGGTAGTGGAACATGTCAATGCCCTTCAACCAAAGATCACCAGTTGATAAG